GAAATTAAGGTGGGAGCATTAGGCAAGTTTGAGTAGATTATCGTAACACTTTATTTTATGTAATTAGTTAATTTATATTGTGAATTCCAATAGTGAGAGTCTGAACTCAGACTGCATTTGTCTTGCTTTGAATCTGTGTTCATGCAATTTTCCCCATTTCCAGATATCTGCATTCCTTATTCTGTAGCCTCAATCAAATTCAGACCTTCTGACCTAATAGGTTAATACCCTGGTTTTGTTTTTTAAAATAACCTCTACTGTGGATTTTAAAGCTATCTGCTCTATTGATTTATTCTTAATTTAGTCATGCTATTCCATGATCAAATTAAGTAAAATTATTTTTAGCTGTTACTGTAAAAGCAAAGTATTTAAAGAAAGTGCTTTAAACTTTAACAGTTTCCCAAATAGCATAAAAAAACCATAAGCACAATGCCATTTTGATCAAATACTCTCATTTAAAAACTGATTTAATAAAGGTTTGTGGAGTTTTCTCATTTTTCCATTATGATACATTAATTGGTATTCACTAAAAAAATATAACAGTGCTCTGTTAGACCTTCAGCACCGATTACGGTTGGAAAGCTGGGGAAATGTGCACAGATAAACCCAAAGTCATTGCAAACACTGCAGTCCCACCAGCTAGCCACCCACGGGGACTCACAACTTCCCTGTAGGTACCCAAGAGCAGTTTACTCAAAAATCACATGCACAACCACCATATGGGGCCTGGCCAAAGGTCCGTCTGGTCCTGTCTCTGGCTGGGTGGAATTGATTGGGAAGGTCTATTTTCCAGCCTGAGAGGTAGCTCTTGTAGTGTGGGTGTGCTGACAGCTGCAGTTTCCCCCGATGTAGGAAGCAACTTTTTTCTCTGTTTTCTGCTTTGTTCCTAGTAATTTTTGGCAGTTATTCTGCTTTTTTGGCTGCTCCTGAACACTGAGCTGCCCTTTTCATGGAACAGCCTGCAAAGGGGTGCCTAGTGGCAATGGCCAGAGCCCATCGCTGCGTGTGCAGCATGTGGATTGTTTACTCCCACCTGCACCTCTTTATTGGCACACTTCTCCATCTGCCAATTTATGACCCAGACGTAGCCTGTCATCTCTCACAGCTGGCCCTCACCTCTGCTGACCTGCCTAAATTCATGTCCTTAGGAAACTTTGTCACCTCACCACTTGCCACTCTGTTCTCACTACCTATGAAGAGCACAGATACCACAGCAGACATCTGCAGAACTTTCAGCTACTCCCCCCATTGCTGTATTTACTCCTCACTAGTTTGCTATCTTGTACTGAGCCTTTTATCCATTCCAGCACCTTCCCTGGCTGCTCATTTTCTGTAAGGCCCTTTGGAGTGGGATTTTGTCAGAAGCCTCTTAAAAATTTAGAAAGGGAAACCGCATCTCCTTTATCAGTGTGCCTGCTGACCCCCATCAAAGGACATCGGTGAGGCTGCAGGATGAATCATCTGGCTTGCCTGGCAGGTAACACCAAGCAGAGTCCTGTGCTTTACGTTCTGCTAGAATGCCCATTCCTCACTTGCTCACTCTGTTTCAAAGCTGAGTTGGCAGCTAAGTGGCTGGACCCTTTCCCTCAAAAAGTGGAGGTGGAGTATGTGCTTGTCTTCAGTAGATCAGTGTGTAGAGCAGCCTCCCACCTGCGGTGCTAGAAGGAGCAGGGATCCCATCTGCCCAAGAGGATGCCCTAATCGGCAGGCTCTCCAAGGCCAGGGAAAACAAGATATCAGCAAAGCTGGTCTGCTCAGAATAGGATATGTATGTATTTATTGGGAAAGCATGAAGTAAGGAGGTCATTTCCCCAGAGGAGAACAAGCAAGGCTCTAGGTCTTGTTCCAATGACTACTCCAAATACAGAATGGAAATATTTCTCAGAGATTGCTCTTTAAATGAGAGATAGAAACTCTCAAATGCGTCTTTGAATCCTGACAGGGTCTCAGTGTAAGACAGGCACAAACCTGCTTAGGAGTCATGGTGATTAGGCATGCCCAGGAGCAGGTTCTTTGTTAACTGAGGAGCTCTAGTGGGACTGAGAGGAAGATGAAGCTGGTGCAAGTGGCCTTGGCAAAGCTAAAGCTAATTTGGAGAAGGAGGAAATGTCCCCTGATGCAGAAGTTAGGCTGTGTGTGCTCTCATTACTGTTCTGTGCAGCAGAAATGTAGGCCTTTGGAAAGGTTGATACATGGAGATTACTGGCTTCCAAAATGAAATATTAACAAAAATTATTATTAAAACCAGCTATCAAGGTGACCTATGAAAAGAGAGGTCATCACTGACAATGGCATGAGAAAGCTGCACTAGGTACTGCGTGATCTGCCAGGCAGCAGATGAGTCCCTAAGACCTCATTCTTTAACCTGGCCAACTGCGAAGAAAATGCCTGGGCAACATATCTGAATAAATATCTACATTTCAGATTTAGACAACTACAGTGGCAATTAGAGATGTAAATCACTTTGTGGATTTGGCACTTCATTTTCTTTTCACAGGATGATGCCTTAGCTGTTTTTCAACAGCTTAGCTCAAAAATCCAGGGCAGCTAAATAATGCATAGCTAGTATGGTATACAGGAATGGGATAAAAACACTTTGAGGAGTTTTGAAGTCTACTACTAAGGCAAATAGTATTGTGTGTCCAGAAAACCATCACCAGAAGTCATTGTGTGTGTTCTTAGGTATGATTGTAACTGGTAATTGTGTTGGAACTAATCTGTGTAATAATAATCTGAATCTCTCTGTGTAATAATTATTGGGCAAAGAGGAGGTCACACAGCATTCAAGATTGTGAGAATTTGCCTTGTGTGGTGTCCAGCTCCAATCCCCCTGCATGTCATGGGTTTCTAGAGCTCTAACTACACTGAGGGCCAGGTGCTGTCTTACAGGACTTGTATCAGCTCCTTCTCCCTTATTTATAATAAGCATATAATATTTTTGCAAGCTTTACAAACTTATTCTGTGCAATGCCCAAGCAGCTACAAAATGTTTGAGAGGCTGGCAAAATGGAAATGCCTTGAGGATGGCTCATTTGTAATTGTCACAGAGACCTGAGGAGGATTCTTCCTTTTGTCAGAAATTTTTCCAGAAGCCTGATTTAAAGAGCTGTTTAAGAATATGCTTACAATGAAACACATTCATAGCCTGGGGAAGCTGGTGGAGTTGTGCATTATCATTAGGCATGTGTTTCAGTCCCTGATAGGCAGGATCTTAGTCTGTAAGGGTCACTTTCTCACTCTAGGAGCTGGCAAGGGCACTCAGCACTTTGATAATACTTCTTTAACTCATTTTCTGACTAGCAAATGAGTTCAAGCAACAGTAAAAGCAGTTCACAGGTGACAGTTATATGTGCTTGTGGGGCCAGACCCAGCTCTGAGCCCACCAGTGCTGTCTGCGGTGGCTTTACTCTGGGTTTCCGACAGCAGCGGTGGGGAGGTGGGGCTTATCTCACCCAGCTTCAGACACCTACACTAGAGACACCTACTTCTGAGCTTGTCGCCCCAGACTGTTTAGAGCTGGTGTAGAGAAACAAGCACTTGGAGAGGGTGATTCATCCAGCTTGTTTTAATCGTCTACTTTAGGAGGAGATAAATCGTGCTATGGAAATGTCTTTTTTCTGTCTACTAACTACACAGAAAGTGTAAATGACTGTCTCAAATTCAGAAGTCTGCACAGCAGATCTCTCAAACTGAGAAGATGAATGTCACCCTTGCTTTTTATCTTTAATCACATTTCTAACATAGACAGTGAGAAACAGTGTGGTCCTACAGTAAGCCTGGCTGTGCACAGGAATCTTAAGACTTAAAGCACCTAGATGTTACCTCTGTTGGGGTGGGTTTTCTCTAACCCAGTGCAAGCATCTGTAGTCAGTGAGAAAGGGCACATTATCTAAGACACCTTATGTGGGGTGCCGTAGTACCTTCCAGTGCTTGTTTTTCACCATGGCCTCAGCCGGGAGTATGGAATGAGTGCCTCACATATAGATGTCCCCACTACAGGTGTCTGAAGTCAGCTGAGAAGGGGTCTCATCCATACTGGAGGAAATAGGATGGCTGTTTCCTGGGGTTGGGGTTCGCCATGGATAATGGCATTGGCAGTAGCATTGGAGGTGATTTCCTTCCGTTGGTTCTCAATGCCATGGGAGAGAGGTTGCCTGAAAGGAGGCGAGGAGGAGTAGTTCCACTTGGGATTTATGAAATAGGAAAATGAATGAACAAAAGGGAGAATGGAAAGCCAAATTTAGTAAAAGCAAGATTGGCATTTTTCCTCTATCTCAGCATCTTGATTTGCTCTTTTAGAGGATACAGTAGCATACAGAGCAGTCTGCTGCAAGAGGTAAAAGAAGAAACCCATTAAAAGACTGGAGGAGGATGTCCAGAAATAAAATTCTTTAATGTCCTGCTTCATCCGTTCTGAAAAGCTATTTTGCCATCTTTAAATTCATGTGCATTCTGTTGCCAGCTGGCCCTTGAGCAGTGTTAGAAAGAGAGTGAGGAGCTTCTCATCCATGTGTGGGTTTGAAGTCACTCCATCTGTGACCTGGGTGACAAAAACTGCCCCCGTGGGGAAACAAGGAATGGGCAGGAAAAGGTAGAGCTCTGGGTGTTATGCATGCCAGCTGGCAGGCAAGTCCCCAGCATGGTAAATGAGAGGATGGGGCCACATGGGTCATCTGTAGTGTCTGCCATTTCCCCAAAGATAGTCTGGCTTTTTGGGGCAGATTACATCCCAGGTATCCTCCAGGACGGTGCCACATCTCCTGGAAAAGTCTGTGTCCATTTACTATCTAGCCCTCTGACAGCACAGGAGATCATGAGGGCATGATGCAGTTTCACTGATGGATAGTTAAAATAAGTCTCAGCTTGTAACTGCTAGTCACCATGTCAGTGATCTTTACACCAAAATATGGGATAGACGCATCATGCCTGCGGTAAGTGCCTACTCCATTCAACATGTAAATGCATCCAAAGAATGAGGACCCCTAGGAATGTAAGCGTCGAGCTGCAAGAGCCCTTTAGAAATGTTACCTGCAGTATTGTCTTTTGCTGAAAGTGAACATCTTTGTTCGTGTATTTAACACAAAATTAAATGTACATAGACAAGTCATTTTGCCTGTAGAGTAGAGAAAACATCAGTAAAGTTGCCATGGAATTGAGTTAAAAGGCAGTGATATTCATGCAAGCTGTCCAAATGGACTGCTGACTCATGCTTATGAGCACAGTGCAATGGGGAGCAGGGAAGGCGGCTTCAGCCCTTGGTGGGGAGATCCTCACCACAGTGTCTGTTGTGGGGTGTCTACCAGACACTGCATTATTTTTTGGTGTGTGTCTGGTGGATCTGATGGTATAATTGTGATTTTTTCCCCCTTTTCAGTGATTGCCAAGACTGCTGGGCCAGAGGGCCAGACATGTTTTCTTTCTGTCTCAGTGATCTATTCTTATTTTAGAAAAAATAACACAGCTTTAATTTTGTGATTCAGGGCACCTACTCATCTTGGGATATCATATACCCTAGTGGCTTAAGGCTAGTTCTGTAATATAACATATCTTCAGCAGGAGGGTTTTAAAACCTGGTTTCCTGCGTTCCAGGGAAATAACTGCAGAGAAGACGGAGATGGTGGGTGCCCTGCTAGCTGTCTTCTAGAAGGAGGAACATTTTTGCCCACCTCTCCAAGTAGTTTCAGAGATGCAAACTGAGTGGAGAAATGCTCTTCCCTGCATTGACACAGTGGCACAAACCCTCCTAAGCTCTCGCTTTGCACCCTGGTTGCCTGGATTCAGTTTTTCTGTGCCCAGAAATCCCAATGGCCCATGGGAAGGACGCTGGAGTTTGTTAGTGTGTATGGAATGGTTGGTGTTGCAGTGACAATGCCCAGTAGAAAAGCCTGAGAGGGAATGAAAAATTCAGTAACCATTGTGGGACTTGTGTGGCAGACAGCAAAGAGGGCACATGATGAAGTTAAAAGAAATTAATGTAGCATTGTTCAGTAAACTAAACCTTGACCAGTGTCTGTGCAGTGAATGAGGCAAGAAGTGTTAGTTATAAGAAGTGATGTAAAGAAAATGAATTAAAATTATTTTGAATGAGCTAAGGGTCCATAGACAGCCTTTGTTCAATTCTAGCTTCTTCTAACATTTAGCAGGTAGCTGGCTACCTTTCCATTATGTGTTTAACACAAAGCCACGGTAGCTTTGGGTAATTCATTGGCCTGCTGGTGCATCTCTTGTTTTGTGGGAAGCTGCTCACACAATCTTCTATTGAAAACTGAAATAAGTGGAGATCAGCAACATCCCCATCTCTGTTAAAGCCACTCAGAAAGAATATATGTTTATACATTTGCTGCTGTACGTTCTTTTTAGATTTCAAGATATCAAACGGAGGCCTCAGTTTTTCCCATTACAAAATACAGCTTTACTAGGCAAATTAATGGTACTTCTCGCTCAGATCATGCATTTCTTATCTGTAAAGAAGTAATTAAATAGTTCTCTCCATTGGAATAAACCTTTTCTTTAATAATGTATTAGCTCATGTAAATACAAATTTAGGCTAACTTGAAGTAAGAGGTTTTAAGAGATTTTCCATTCTAAATACTGATTCTGACCAGGATAAGGAAGGAATTTTTTTGTGTGGATCTCTCTTAGTCTGCCTTGAACATGTAGAAATGTTTGGCAATAATAGAGTCTCTCATTGTCCTGTCTCTACTTACATTTTTCTTTTCAACTTTCAATGCATGCAGTGACCTCTGGACACTTTTGAAGTTGTAGGCTCCTATTTTTGACACCAATTACTATTACATCCTCCTTCAATTGAACTAACCAACTAATCTGAAGTTAGCACTTGAGAGAAGTCACTGCTGAATGTTGTATGTGAGTGACTGTCAGCTTCAGCTAGTGCTGGATGGGGTGAATTTAAGAAAGGCAGATGAAAGCCCTAAAGGCAGTGGCCTGCTGTGGAGGTCTGCTAGCACGTTTTGGTTTGGTTCATTCACAAGCTGGATACGGGATCTGCTGATGGTGGTATGATAGCAGGACCATAACAATTCATGTTTAAGGATGTAAGTAAAGGGACAAGGTTTTTTAGGAGAGAAATTATCTTTTAATTAAACAAAGTGCTCTAATGTGTGAAAGAGACAAGTTTTTTGAAACATAAGCCCAGAGGAGGCTTTGGTAGCTGTCACGTGGCTGATCTGAAAGAAAACATACTGTGGATGCTGTCTTTAAAAAATTACCACCTGGTTTATACAGCGTCTGTTACTGGGCTGATGGGCACTTGGGTGCATGGCTGAGGAGCTGTCTCTTTTGGCACCCTGGAGTCAGCAGTATGGCATGTCTGAAACTGAGCTTTCCAGCAGCATCCTAGGTGCAGTTATAATGAGACGAAGTTCCAGTCCATTTGCTGCATCACGTTTGGTGCAGGGCTCAAACTAAAAAAATATAGGATTGCCTCATCTGAGATGCTCTTCAGGGCAGTCTGTGTGTTGGACTAATTTTTGCCATCTGGTTACAACCTCAGGAGAGTTGTTTTGCTGAGGATCACTGAAATGCCTGAGGATCCTAGTTCAGTGTTAACCGTGCTACTTATCTTGCACTGACTGTCCTTAATGGCAAGGTTAAATACATTGGCCCCTCTCTCCTTTTAAGAAACACTGTATTCCATAAGCTGCCCAATTCTGCATTTCCCAAGAGAATAACAATTCCAAGTGTTGTTGTGATTACCTTTGCTGCTTTATTAAACTTAGTGCTGTATTTTTCATTCATCTACACATCCTAACAGCATCAGTTTAAGTGGTGTGTTAAGCCTTTCTATGTACATCATAGCAACATGTAATTTTCATTTCCATTGTACCCAGTGGCTTCTAAATCCAGAGGTGATAATTATTATTTGCCTTGTAATTATGCCCCAGTTGAGCCAGAGGCTTTGCAATGATCTAAAAACAAAGGATATTTTGTGACAAGATCCAGTGGGTTCTTTTGCTGATAAAGCTCCATGTGATTTCAGAAGGGCCTAGGATTTGAAAACTAAAATGCAGACTGGATTTCCTTAGTAAGCTTCACGTTTTCTTCTCCTCAGGGGATGAGCACTCCCGGGAGTCTCCAGCACCAGCCGAAGCACAGATGCAAGCCCGGGTGGAAGGTGGTGCAAGGGTGAATCGCTGTTGCTGGAAATGCTCCGTGACGCAACTCAAGAAGATTTTTTGGGGTGTGGCTGTGGTCCTGGGTGTCTGTTCCTCCTGGTCGGGGTCAACCCAGCTAGCAAAACTGACCTTTAAGAAATTTGATGCACCCTTCACTCTAACATGGTTTGCAACAAACTGGAACTTTTTATTCTTTCCTTTGTATTATCTTGGACATGTTTTTAAGTCAGCTGAAAAGCAGTCTCCAAAGCAAAGATACAGGTATGGGAGCTTTTGGTTTGTTTCCTGTGGCTCTTGCATGCTGCTCTACCTCTAGCAGATCTTTTATTCAGATCAGCCAGTTAAATCAAACTTGGATTTGGTTTCCTCTTCAGGTTTGTTAAAGGATGTCTGAATTCATTTTATGTCCTGTGCGAGGTAGTATGTTGTTATTCTCAATACAGTTTCACTCCAAGCGTAAGAAATTCAGGTTTATTTCTGATCCATACAAATCACGTAATGAAAGTCCCCATTTTCTGCAATTGCTTCTCAAGAGTTTTCCATTCAAACCTCTGTGAACTTAATTTTTTTATTAATATCTTCTTCCTCTACCCACAGCTGACTTTTATAGCAAACTCTGAGTAAGCTAAGTAAGTTTTTTCTTTTCCAAACTCAGGACTAGTGCAGTGCCTTGAATAGCCAAGTAAAAAGTATTGCAGTATTTTCCTGGCATTATGCCCCTGACAGCAAAGGCCAAGCTCTGATCCTAGTTAAACTTGAGCTGTTGTGTTTATTTCCGGGAGGAAGCACAGTCATAACCAAAGACAGCACTTTGTCTTCAGCACACTTTGTATTTACAGCAAGCCAGACCCACAAAACCCGAAGTGCTCATGGAAAGCCCTGAGGGGCTGAGGATGCTGTGGCTGTTTAAAGGACTGCCTCTTGGGGAGCACTCCTTCAGCTCAGCTCATTTTGGCCCGAGAGGTGTCTGGGACAGATGGGATGACTCAGCCATCAAGGTGTCCTGTGTCAGAGAGCTTCCCTGATACATGGAAGGATGTGAACAATGTTTTCCCCTTCTGTTACACAGTGGGGCTCACAGCCTTTTAATGAAGCAGCTCAGAAAATAAACATTAAGAAGTACACATTTCTCAGCCTCCAGCTGTGCAGCAGCAAGGTGGAAACTTACTACAGGAAAAAATTTAAGAAACCAGGGTGCTCAGGCAATGCTCTGTAAAGGTTATAAATGCTGAAATTTTGCTGCTTAGCCATTGTTACAGTTTCTTCATCTTCTGAATCGTTTGGAGGCTGCAGATAGAGGAATTTTACTCTTCACTGCAGGTCCTAGAGCAGTATCCAAAAGTTTTGAAGGCATTTTTATAAGATGTCATGCTTTCCACACTTCAGCTTTCAGTTTCAATTTGTTGTTTACTCCACTGCAAACATGGTTGCTTCAAAGATGAGAGAAGTATGGAGGTCAGAGAAAGCAACAGTTTAATCTAAAACAGTAATAAATGCTAGCACAAAACAATACCTTTTTGTTTCTTTGATTTTTAAGTATTTTTCTTTCCAGCTGCTCTCAGATAACATTTTAAATACTGCTGAATTCTGGGGTGAGTGGTTGTGGTTTGTCAGACTCCTGGGGTTAAAACTAGAGCATCATACTCTTTGTTGCTGCAGTTAATTGATATGGTTGGTAGCTTTATGTCTTCCATTTAGTTAAAGGATGGCTGAGTTGAAGAGCAGGTGCAAGCCCTGCAGCCTGTCTGGGATGCAGGGGTATATTGTTCCAAGTAATCTTGCTGGAGGTTTAGTAAAACGCATGCATGTGTGTGTCTGGCCAGCAAACTGAACAGATTTAATTCACAGAGTTTTTTCTTGGTGTCAGGATAGCCTTGGGCCTTTGAAGATATGGTTTAGGTTCCTAGCTTTGCTGCAGATTCTTTTTGTGGTTTTGAGCAAGTCACTGCACACTCCTGATTTCCTTGTACTCTCTGTTCATTCAGATGAGACAGTCCTTCAGAGGGAGGACTGTCCCTTACCATGTGTTCATGCAGTGTCTGCTTCAGCATGTCCACTCTCTATGCTGAGACCTTTCAGTGGTTCTGCACTAAGAATTACTGTAAAAAGAATTACTTTCATCTGCCTGCGCCATTATGGCTTATTTGTCACGTGCACATACATCTGAAAACCCAAGTGTTGAGATCCAGCATCTCCTCTTAATTATTCCCCCTTTTTGCATATTATATATATCTCTGCATAGAGAGGGAGAGACATATACAGAGACTTTACAGGTCTCTATGAAACATTATCATCTTCAGGAAAGCTTGCACTCCCGGTGCAGTTGGACATGCTATGGAGGCAGTGCATGGGTTTCTGGATAGTTGTAATAAGATAATTCTGACCTGGAAATAACAAGAAACTTGCTTAATCACTTGCTGCTGCTTTTATCCATCACCTTCATTTATTTTATATACTGTCTAAGCTCTCTTGCAGGAATTTGCAACAAGATAATTAAAAAGGTGGTAGTGGGAGAAGGTGGAAATACAACATCTAACTCACATTAGCAGTGAGGTAGTAAAGGAAGGGATTCTCAGATCTTGCCTACACCGGTTGCTAAAATCCACAGGCACCTAATGTTTTTTGGCAGCAAAGCTACCCAAGGACACCACAAGGCAGCCACCACCTCCTCAGCTTCCCCTCACCACGGCACAGTGCCTTCACACTGCCCCTGCCTTGGCGGGCGGCTTTGCGGGGCTGAGCCAGGCGTGCTTTGGTGTGCCTCAATGTACAGCTAATGAGCATGTAAGGAACAGCAACTGTTAGGGAAAAATACACAAAAGAAGGATCATAAAGTGTAGGAACAGTGAACAGATATACAGTCTCCCCTATACAGGTTATATGGTTTATTATGGTTTTAAATTCCTATAGTATTATATCAGTGTATGTGTATGTATACACTATGCTGTATATATATGAATTTGTATGTTCTGTAGTTTCACAGAAGAACATACCTGTTGTGGACACAAATAATTTTAAAGCTGCACGGATTTTTTGCCAATTTTGTAGCACATATAATTGTAGTAAACTTTGCACCAAAATTTTATAGTAGCACATTAAATTTAAAAACAGGTTTATTCCGTTTATGCACACAATTTTGAGTATTAGGTCATAATGTAAAGTATTAAAGATTTCCGATTGACCCATATTGCATGGTAAGGAACTTTCTACTTACACTGAAGCAGAATATCAGTTGTGTCTTCAACAGGAGAGAGTGACTATTCAAGGCAAACCAAAACTCATGCTTTTGTGTCCAAACTGCTATAGGCTCCCAGAGTTGTGCCCAAGTGTAGAATGCTCAGGGAGAACTTGTCTCATGTTCACTACCATGGGTGCCACCCACCCTTGGCACAGAGCTGCGTGCATGGAGATTGACACAGAGAGCTCTGGCAGGCCACTGAAGAGCACACCAGGGTCAGAGCTGCTCTCTTACTTCTTGTGCAAGTGCTCACTAGCTTAAAATAAAATTACAGTAACTAAATTATCATTCATTTCGTCCGCTGTCCAGTCCAGAAATAACACATGTAATGATTTATGTGCCTAATGGATCATTTAAGAGTACTTCATTTTGGCTTCATACGTTTTTGCGTCCAAACGGGTTTATAAAATGACTCATTTAATGTGATGAGCTAGCCTTCGTCATACCTACATTATTAATTTATGAGGTAATATAAATTAAAAGCATGGGAGCTTAAAGCTCCCTGGCTACATGAAAGATTAAATTAAAATCTCTGTAAGTAAGTTATTGTTTAGCTTTGCGTATCTCTAGGCGGGACAAAATACACCTTTTACAAGGATTCATTCTGTGTGTGCCAAGTGGGGGAATAACGGAGGATCATGTTCACCTTTTAGCAGGAGAATGCTTGTTTATTTGATGGCATGATCTTATCTAGCAGCTTTTTGAGTAGGAAAGGACAGGAAGGACTTTTAAGAATGGTTTGCATGATTATTTATTTGGTTATAATTTAGATCTTGATTTTATTCTGTAAAGCATTAGGGCTAAAGAAAATACCAGAATCTAAAACTAAATCTCTTCTACAACCTTGGCTAAAGCTGGTGTGTTACGTGAGTGAATCATCGCATGTACCTGCACTGATCTACAATCACATTTGAATGTGTTTTAACATGATATTTTTCACTGATTCAGAGTTTTGTCTCTATACTTCCCCCAAATTAGCTGCCATTAATATTTCAGAATTTGAGATTTTTCTTTGAACAGAAAGAAAACAGTTGGAGGTAACACTAAAGTATAGTTATTTCTTTGAAATGGAAACAAAATACTGGAGGCAACAATGGAAGAGACCAATGTAGTAGATTTCCCTTACTCTGATTTACCAACATATTTACTTCACAAGAGTCACTTCTGATTTATATGCATATGGATTCAGAATCAAGACTTAGCTCTTTAGTGGCCAGAAGTGATCAGTGCCATATCTTCATATATAGAGCAGAACAAATCAGACCAGAACAGGACTATTTCGGTTGTAAGGGACCTACAGTGCTCATCCAGTCCAACTGCCTGACCAATTCAGGGCTGGCCAAAGGTTAAAGAGTGTTATTAAGGGCATTCTCCAAATGCCTTTTAAACGCTGGCAGGCTTGGAGCATTGGCCACCTTCTCTAGGAAGCCTGTTCCAGTGTTTGACCACCCTCTTGGTAAAGAAATGCTTCCTGATGTCCAGTCTAAACCTCTCCTGGCGCAGCTTTGAACCATTCCCATGCGTCCAGTCATTGGGTAACAGGGAGAAGAGCTCAGCCCCTCCTTCTCCACTTCCCCTCCTCAGGAGGCTGCAGAGAGCAATGAGGTCACCCCTCAGCCTCCTTTTCTCCAAACTAGACAAGCCCGGAGTCCTCAGTTGCTGCTCATAGGACATTCCTGCCAGCCCTGTCACCAGCTTTGTTGCCCTCCTTTGGATGCATTCAAGGACCTTCACATCCTTCTTGAATTGTGGGGCCCAGAAATACACACAGTACTCAAGGGCAGGCCACACCAGTGCTGAATATAGAAGGACAAGCACCTCTTTTGGCTGGCTGGTTATGCTGTGCTTGATGCATTCCAGGATGTGGTTTGTCCTCCTGGCTGCCAGTGCACACTGCTGACTTCCATTGAGCCTGCTGTCAACCAGAACCCCCAAAACCCTTTCTGCAGGACTCTCTCCAGCCACTCCTCTCCCAGTTTACACTTGTGCCTGGCATTACTCCATCCCAGGTGCAGAATCTGGC